TAAATACAACCAATAACACTTGTCTCGCCGTCTGAACGTCACCCTTTTCTTAAATCAGATTAATCCGTCCAAATCCTTTAAATCCAACGTAAAAAAAATAGTCCTAATGCACAATGGTCAATTAGAGTCTAGAGGATCAACAAAGGCTTAATGAAGGCAATGTTACAAGTGTTAAGAGCTAGAAGGTGCAGGACCGGCTTTTGTTTTAACGTATTTTCTCAGTTAATTTCTCGTCGTCCTAATTTTAGGCTTTTGTTCAAATCAATAGCCTTAAGGGTTATCTCGCCTCTTCATTGCGATGTTTTACTTTAATCTAGTTGTCTAAATCGCACCCCCCTGGAGGTTTTTCCCGACATTTATTTAAGATCAACTGATATTATTGATAAAAGTATTTAGCCATATTGTTATTGACGTCTAGATAAGTGAATATTGTCTATAGCTTTCAGAAATTTGCGTTTCTTAGTATACATTTAAAGGAAGTGTTGGTCGATTGCGGTTTTTCCGTGACTCTTCTGCTGAGAAATGACGTAATAAGTAATGTAGAAACGCTGAACATCACACATTCATCATCTTTCGACTGGTGCCGATATTTCCTTGTTGGGCACGAGGCAGAGTATACTTACAGCTGATACCATTTCAGTCGTAGGTTATCAGTGTCTCTGACTGATTCCAAACTGGAAGCCTGTATACAATTATCTAATGTTTTATCTTTTGTACTTGATCGGTGTATTTGTTTGTTCTGTTGGTGAACAACAGTTTTAATATTAGTGTCTGTGCCTATAAGCATATAGATAGAGATCTTTATGTTTGATTTTTATAACTCAATGAATATGTTATCAGGTCGAAATGACTTGATGTGCTTTTGTGTAAAGCTTTTAAATAAATCAGTTGACTTTTGACCCTGTGTAGGCGAATTCTGCTTAAGTAAAAGTAAATGTTTTATGGAGATCTTTAATTCACGCTACACAGACTTTGGGGAATTTAAAGACATTGAAAGAAGGGTGGGGAGAGATCATTCGATTGAAATAATATATTTTATTCATGAATATTAAAGTAAGTGTGAATATTATAGGATTCAGACATTCCCTGTGGTCTATTCACATTGGTATTGATTTATACATTAGTTTCAGTCAGTGCAGAAAAGTAGGACGTTAAACCCCATTTCATGTATACATTATTTTGTTGTGTATTAGTTTCAGGACTGTCATGTCTAATCTATTTAGTTAATTTCACGGTTTTGTTTTAGTTTTTAGTTCGTGATCCGACAAATTTGACTATTGTGGGTGGTGGGGACGTTACGCCCAGCTGGAATTCGATATAAGAGTAGGTCGTAGTGTCACTATGCGGGCAAAATGTCCCCAATAACCGACTGTATGGCGTATACCCGTTTTCATTAGCCCAATCGGTGCAGAAAAGTAGGACGTTAATCCTCATTTCATTTCATTTTTATTTCTTAATCAAATTTCGTTTCGTTTGAGACGATTGGTATAATAGGTATCGTGTATACGACATGATGTACTTAATTATTCAAGAACACGTGATATATGAAACAAGGGGGTAAAAAATGCTATTTAATCAGCTTTTGTCTCATGATTATACAATTAAAAATATAGATTTCCTATTTCATTTTAATCCCATTTAATTTGTGATTTTAAATCCCGTAGTTAATCTGGGTTTTACAGATTATGACAATATGGTTTTAAATTGTCATGTTACCTGGTTGTAAAAAATATCATAAACAAATACATACTGCTGTATCAATGCTACACTGGTGTATCGATGTTACCCTGTTGTATCAATGCTATACTGCTGTATCTATGTTATACTGCTGTATCAATGTTACCCTGTCGTATCAATGTTACACTGCTGTATCAATGCTATACTGCTGTATCAATGTTACCCTGTCGTATCAATGCTACATTGCTGTAGCAATGCTAAGCTGCCGTATCAATGCTACATTGCCGTATCAATGCTACATTGCCGTATCAATGCTACTTGCTGTATCAATGTTACACTGCTGTATCAATGCTTTGAGTGTGTGAAATAGCTTTATTTAAAGTCCGCTTCCACCGAAGTAATATCGCAAACACACAGTGCTTTGTTATGTTTTGGTGTCTAAATAATTTGTCTGTAAATCTACTGGCCAATCAAATACCTCATTTCATGTATATTTTTCTATTTTCTATTTAATCACACCTACTTTATATATGTATAAACATACGTAAAGCTCTTCTTTGTTACGGGGATACTGATTGGTGGTTAAAACGTTTGTTCACCAATCGAAAATTGTCTTTCAATTAAGCGAGCTGCGTACGTTGACATGTCATGGGAAGGAGAAGCAGCGAATTGCAAATGAAGACATGCTACCCCCTGCCGAGACACACCAAGTTCACAATAAATGTGGACCTTTCATGTAAGCGTCAATGAGCACCAACTGTGATGTACCAAGGAAGGTGTTGAAGCGTACGTTTATCATATTAAGCTAGGTTCACACTATCCTGATTGGTGCTATACACTTGAAATCGTGGTTTGAATCGTGCAGTAATCGTGGTGATTCTATCAGGTCTTGTCATATATTGAGCTCAGTCGTAGCAATCGTATCGAAACGTATCTGCACGTAGCAGATCGTGGGCTCAATAGGGACAATCCTATGGTAACGCATCACACGACAGTAGGGATCTAGCATTAGGGATAAGTCACGCTGCATAATCACACTATCAAATGATACTGTACCTCAATTTTTTTTTAACTCGTTGGCTGCCAAGTGGGTCACCACCCCAATAAAAAAGGATTTTAATATATATTTGTAAAGTGGTTTTGGTTAGATTATTTTCTGAGAAAATATAAATATCCTCCAGCGATATCTCGTATACCATTATTCTCTCATTGTCCTAACTGAATCAGAACGAAACGAGGGTAAGTGAAAGCTCTTTTAACATACTCTCTCTAGGTAGTCCGCACTTTTATAATTCATTGTAAGTGGTGGCGCAGCTTAAAATTAATATGAAATGAAATAGGGTTTAATGCCCCCCTTTAAGTATCATCCGAACGACTAGACACTCTTCGTTGCTGGGTCATGCGTCCTGCACCAACCTCCGGATCGAATCCAGGAACCAGCTGGTTAGTGAACCAGTTCCTTACACACTGGGGCTTCAACAATCTCAATAGTACACTACTATATCATTTCCCCATTAGGGCATTTTTGTCACGAATTTGAAGCATTAGGGCATAGGGGGGGGGGGGGCGAGAGGTTACTCCACCCCCACCCACCTCGGATACGAGACATTATTAGGTTTCGGCATATCTTAGAATTGCGGGGATGTGATTGCCTGTGATGTTTACCTGTATAAATATGGTACATTCCATCTCTCATTAGACCCATTGGTGCAGAAAAGTAGGACGTTAAACCCCATTTCATTTCATCTCTCAGTTAGAACCAAACGTGCGTGATTTTCTCATCACCTCATCGGTATTGCATCACTTTTGCCCTACTACTTACTGTACTCAAAATGCCCTACTCCCCATAGTAGAGATTCTTGGAACTAAATCTGATTAAAATATAGCGCTCAACATGACCATTGCCAAACAGGTCATAAAAATAGACTCCCCTGTCCTTTTGTATGACGTTAATAGTTTCAATCAAGTCTCATTACAACACAGATCCTGTTTCGTTTCGTTTGTTATAATTTCGACGGCCTTCACTACCGGGTATAGGCAAGTAAAACGGAAATTTAAACTATAAAAAAACGAAACGAAATAGGGTCTGTGTATTGATCAAACTTGATTGAAACTATAAATGTTATACAAAAAGTCAAGAGAGTCTAATTTTATGACCTGTTTGGTAATAGTCTGTCATGTTGGGCGTTGTAAAATTCTAACCACGATTGAATTTATGTCGACTATCCTTTTTAAAAACATATATAAAGATATAATATTGCTGGGTTTTTTTAGAAAATAAAACTTCCATAAAAATAAAAGTTCACTTTTACAAGTACAACGTTTTTAGAAAGCTATCTAAAGATAACATTATGTTTATGAAAGAATATCTGAAATATTCAGGTGTTTTTGTTCGTTTTTTTTCTTTAAAAAAGTAGTGGATAATGAACTGAATATAGCTAACACATTATGCAGTCATAATTCACCTTTCGTTCCTGAACAGTGATTCTAGTTTATAAAAAAACCCAAGCAGGGCTGACTTTCTGATATATTTGCTGTCGGTCATTGCCCTATCGTGTCCTTCTACCAAGCTAATATATTTTTCGTCCTCCATATCGTGTCCGTCTACCAAGTTAATATATTTGTTGTCCTTCATATCGTGTCCTTCTACAAAACTAATGTATATTTTCTGCCAGCCATTGCCCTATCGTGTCCTTCTACCAAGACGATATATTTGATGTCGGTCATTACCCTCGTGTGTCCTTCTACCAAACTAATAAACGTGTTGTCAGCCCTTGCCCTATCGTGTCCTTCTACAAAGCTAATATATTTTTTGCTGAATCCATGGTCGACGCACGAGTCAATTGTAGCGCCTGTGGGGGCTAATAAACGCTACATAGTCGGTCTTGAGGGAGAGAAAAAGAGATCCAACCGTGTACTCGTTGGAGGGCTTGTAAAAAGGACCCCTAGTAGTTGGGATACGATCAGGGCCGTATTAAGGGGAGGGCTGACTGGACTGTAGCCAGAGGCCTCCTCCATTCAAAGAGCCCTCAAATTAATTTAAAAAAAAACAATATTGTACCATAAATAAATGCCATAGGTAAAGTATCCATTGGGCATGCATCGGATTATGTCCCCTTTTCACTCATGGGCCCAAAGGACATTTTCATACAGTGTCCCCATGCCAGCTTATTCCGACCCGGGATACGATCAAGAGTAAACAAAAACGCCACTTTATGGGCAACAGTCTCCTTCATATCATTGCACATGAGGCGTTAAACTCAATGCCTTTCCTAGACATTGTTCATGTCATTATTATTGTACGTTGTATTTTTTATTTTTAGGTGATTTGGGGGTTGACGTTTTTATAAAGAAAGGGAACTCAAGTTACCCTGATTGTTGTGTTTAACCTGAAAATGATACTGTAAATGTAAATATAGTTACAGATATAGCGGAATATAACATTACATTGCATTGTGTGGTAAGTTTCTTATCTATATATACCTTTCAAACAGTTCCCACATATATCAAAAGAAATGGGTTTTTTCAAAATGTAATGAAATAGGGTTTCGCGTATTACTTTCTGCACCAACAAGGATAATGTAGACGGGCATATACCATGTAGTATTGTAGATCTATGAGGAGGATTGTGTCGACCTATTGTTCACCGAAATCCAACTGTCAAGGGTTCATTTAAGTGCACCCCAACGAGTACATGACCGGGTCTCGTGTTTTCGTCCCATCCAAACAACTAGACGCCCTCTTGTTCTTGGTAGGCTTGCAGTCCGCCACCATTGACAAGGGGAATCCTGGCTGGAAAAACCCGTAGAAAATTCACGTCCAGCACCGGAATCGAACCCAGGGTCTTCAAGTTAGTGCCATGCATATAGTAAAAATCAAAAGTATGTTCTTTTTTTAACTATTGTGACGATGTAATTATGTACACCCGAGCGTATAAAAACCTTCAAGCAGAATGGTTTGGTTTTGTAATTAAGTACACCCGAGCGTATAAAAACCGTCAAGCAGAATGGTTTGGTTTTGTAATTAAGTAAAACCCGAGCGTTTAAAAAACCCCAAGAAGATGGTTTGGTTTTTTAATTACACGCGAGCGTTTGAAAACTTTAAAGCAGAATGGTTTGCTTTGTACGAAATAGACTATATGTCATATGGATATCGTGTTGTGAAATCAAAAGAAACTAATATACATTTTAAATGGCCATAACTTGGCGCGTTTATAAACTTCACAATTGTGAATTTACGATGGGACCATTTTTTTTAATCACATGTACAATTGAAATAATATACTGTTTTAACTATTGTGAGTGAGTACAGCGTTTAATAACTTCCTGAAGTGGTCTTGCCTTTACGTAATAGACCATTTTACATAAAGATTGCTGTGTGAAGTCAATATGAACTTTAAATAGCCATAACGTGAGTGATGAATTTGAATAATGTTTAGACCAGAACGTTTTCTTTAATAATAAAAGTATTTCAATTGCGTGAGCGTGTGTGGTCTCTAACACCACATTAAAAGAGCACATACAATGACCACTTGAAAGTGTTTATTATATACACGTTTTGAATATCTTTTAAATCGCATTTATAGTGAAGAACATGTCGTATAGAATCTAAATATTTAACATCGTCCTAGGAAATATTTAACGTCCCACTTTTCTGCTCTGACTGAGCTAATGAAGACGGGCATACGCCATACCGTGGGGTATGGGGAAAATTTTGACCACTATGGCCTGCTCTTATATCGAATTCCAACACTGCAAAGGGATCTTTTACGTGCACGACAATTTGTACATGTGACCTCGGTTTTTCGTATATCATTGTCAGGTCATCTGTCCTGCACCACTGACAATGCAGAGATCGAACCCGCGACCTCCAGACTAGCGAGCCAGCGTCTTACCTACTAAGCCATCGTGGCTCCTATCGCCCTAAGAACGGAACTATTTGGATTTTTCTCTGTTAAAGATATCTTTCATAAAACTATCTGACATGATTCAGCATCGCATGATTTATTAAACAGTGAGTCAGTCGCCCTAGATTTCATTTAACAAAAAAGAAATTTAAGAATGTGTACAATTAGATAACGTGCCATTTATATAATCTGTTACTGTTAAATATTTTATTATTGCTCATATTTGATACAGTAACTAAAGTAACAATGGCGGTTAGTAAGCGTGATGCATTGTATTAAACACGAACTGCTTACACCGGGATCCTCAGGTGTCATAGGGTCTACCTGTAACTTGACCTGTCTTCACCCGAGATGTGAGTCCATCATTGAAGAAAAAAACTCAACTACCTGTTTGGTTTAGTCTCCCTTTAAAACCAAAATGTTTAACAAAAACAATTTGTGGTGAGCAGTGACGCCAACAACGGGAAACCACGTCCGTATTTTGTACGAGGGAGAATATTTATGATGTACATGTATTTTATTGTGTAAAGATATGCCATATTTAAAAAAAAAGAAGACTTATTTGGTCACATCTTGCTCCATAAAATCTAACTTTTTAGGGATCTCATATATTATGCAGGAATTTACTGCCGATAGTTATTGAAGTTCCTCGCGTTTTTTCAGCGTATTTTCCCCTTGTCAGTGGTGCAGGACGAAGGGTTAGGCAAGACAGAGTGTCAAGTCTTCCGTATGGGACTAATACAAGAGTTCTCGTGTGTACGTTGGCATGCACGTAAAAGAATCCTTGACATTTGGAATTGGTAATAAGAGAAGGACAGGCAAAAGTTAGCTCAAAGACCGACTTCATTATCGCAGCTGGTGCAGAACAATAGGATATTACAACCCATTTCATTTCCTACGTCTTGTAGTTAACGACGGCAATGACAGGGGTGGGTTTTAATGTCCACATAAATTCTGCAGGAAAAGTTTGTAATTATTTTAAAAACTAAGTCCACATGACAACGATGGGTTCTTTAATTGTAAACAAACATGGTGATGGGTAAAGAATGTTGATTGGTTGACTATAATGGATGAGATGACGTTTTTATTGTGACATGTTGGAACATTTACTACAGGAAAAACAACCATGTTGGGCCATATACAACTTTTACTATGCTAGAACAGGTTCCTCCCGGATAAAGACCTGTTTTATGATTGATGCATCGTCAAATATTACACCCCATTTTATTTACTATTCATATCTAAAACACGACTCACTTGTCAGTTGTGGATTCAGACCACCGATTACTTCTTAAAAGCTGGACACAGAGAATAGATCCCTGCCCTGAGTGGCCGCCATTTCCCAAAAATTGCCGTTACTATTTTCTGTAATGGGATTCTTCTCATCTCTCATACACACAAAGACTAAATCACCATTTTTGATTTTAATAAATGGAAGCAGAAATAAATACTGCTCAATATTCTCGAAGTGTTTTCGAGTAAGAACGTCGATTTAGGAATTAAAATGTCGATCAATTAACATAGTGTCCATTGTCTAGTGGAGCTAATTGTAGACAAACAACATAAGTTTAGTATGTCGATAACCATTTAGTTGCTGTTAGTTTTGCGCCTAGAGTATGTACGTCGCTTATAGCAGTACACCGAGGACACAATTTTGCAGATTAACTGTTGATTTAAATGTTATCGAATATACAGTATTACAATTACTTTCGTACGATTTACTCAAAATTACTTTCTATATTTTACGATTTACTCAAAATTACTTTCTATATTTACCTTTTACTCAAAATAACTTGCTATATTTTACGATTAAAAAATGCAATTACTTTCGAGTAGTTTACAATAAACTCATAATATTACAATTTTATATTTACGAGAGAGAGAGAGAAATGGGGTTTAACGTCCACTCGACACAAACTAGGTCATTTCGGGACTAACATATGGTTTAATTTTATTTCAATAATTTCCTTGCGCATAGGGGTCTTTAGCAGTGGGAAGAAACCGGAGGACCCGGAGAAAACCCACGAGGTTGAACAGGCGACCCTACTCCTTGTCTTTATATTTACGATCCCGATTCCAATACAATTACAAATACAATTACAAATACAATTTATGATGAAATGAGATAAGTCACATTGTAAGATTTAATTACAAGTACTTTCTATTTTTTATACCCAGATTACGGTTAATTTCTTATTTTTGTGATTATATTACAATTACTTCTTCTTATGAATGTAATTGATGCAATTACTAAACGCCATCTTATCTGTTTACTTTGTTATCCCTGACGTTGTAATTAAAGTGATTAATTTCTCGGAAGACAGATATTGAAATATGGAAAGGGAGTCTATAGGCATCTCTCTGTTCTCCAATCCAATTTCTGTGAATAAATATTGTTTAAAACAAAAATTGAAATATTGGGATTTCGTGTAAAATAAAAATCAAAGTTCCATCAAATTCAGTGTTAAATCATGATAGTATATTTCTGTGATTGATTGGTTGTCATATGCCAGTCATTGTCAACAGATAGAGGATTGTCCAATTGGTAAATATGCATCAAATATATAATAAACAACTAGGTCATAGTAACTAGAAATAAACCAATAGCTTGTGTGCCAAATCGTGATTTTTGGACTCCATTTTTATTTAAATACTTTCCATGTCAAGTTTATTAAAATAATATAACAATATTTATTCTATTGTCTGCACTGTTATGTCGAGTGTGTGGGTTGATATATTGGATTGTACGAGAAGCCATTTGGACTTTAGAACATTCTTTGAATTTTTACTTTGATGCACTAAAAACCTTGAATAAATTACAAAATTACAACAGATGAAATATTGTACTCAAAATAGAGCACCCCTTTTTTATCTCAAAACTAGTTTTATATACCGTTGACAAGGCCTCAGAACTAGAAACATCTTTGTCAATGTTATTGTGTTGTCTTCCCGGAATTGTTTAATTAATGTTTTACATAAACAACAAAAATACAGCAAGGATTGTTTGACTGCACATTCCCTTTAAATTAACATATTTATCTATTCTTTTCCTGGTACAAAATTAGGTCCCACTTCACTTTACTTCGAGATAAACTTCGTATCTTCTGGCACAAGGGGTGATAAACGTCGTCCTCCAATTAATCATTTTCCGAATTCAAATCTAGGATAATGTGTTATCATTTATTAGTACTTTAATTTAGAGAAAAAAAACCTTTAATATCTCCTTAATTACCGGGAAGCATGACGTTGAATATATGATAAAGTTATATGTATATGAGTTTCAACAAGGATGTAGATAACACCGACCTATGTACTTTGTAAATAATGTTTTTTTGCTCCTAGACGTGCTACTTTCGTTTTATACCTACTCAACAGATAATGATCTAAAAACTACTAAAGCCTTTACAAATTTAATACGTGAATATACAAAAAGGTATGCTATATGCGATGATTGTGAAAACAAAATGATAAAATATGTTGGTGTGGTTTCAGATAAGTTAAATTCTTACGTGGTTTGCATACCGGTTTATACTTACGTTGCTAGGATGCTGACA